CGTCGTTTACTTTCGTCATCTATTCATGTCACGAGGCACCAACTTGTCGTGAAACTGCTCGCGGCCGTTTCGCTCGCTTCACATACACCAAATTTGGTATTACGAGACGTGAAAAAATGATGAAGGTATATGACTCGTTCAAACATGATAATCATGAGACGCGTGTCATGTAACAACATGACTACATGCCACACTCATGATGCGCTCGCGACCGTTTCACTAGCTTCACATACACCAAATTTGGTATTAAGTGACGTGAATGAATTACGAAGGTGTGTGACTGGTGAAAACATGGTAATCATGAAACGCGTGTCATGTAACAAGCCTACATGCCACACTGATGATGCTCTCGCGGCCGTTTCGCTAGCTTCACATATGCGAAACTTGGTATTACGTCACGTGAATGAATGGTAAAGTATGTGGCTGGTGCAAAACACGGTAATCATGAGATGCGTGTCATGGAAGAACATGACTATGTGCCACACTCAAGGCGCCAAAACACTTCGACGAAACCTGGCGCGCATCACGCTGGCGGTGCCCCGCCAGGCACCGATCTGCCTGACATATACTCGTCACGCAGGCGCACGCCGCGGTGCATTGCTTTGACGCATGCGCGTTTCAACGCGCCCGGTGTCCTTCCGTCACGAAGCTAAGCAGACGCGGTGCTGTCTATAGGTAACGTCGTCGGCGCAAAATGCAACTTGTCCCGTTTCGAGCCGGTTGCCGCCGGGCCTCGCTGACAGACGCTGGTCGCGCCTAGTGTCAGACAATAGAGCGCTCGCGTTTTGTTAGCGTAGCGTCACTGCGCCTAGCGTGGGTGCGCGTCAACGTTACGTGCGCTCGCCACCATTTCGCTAGCTTCACATATACCAAGCTTGGTATTACGGGACGTGAATGGACGACGAAAGTATGTGACACGTCCAAACATGATAGTCATGATATTCGTGTCGTGTAAAACATTATTACACGCTACGCTAATAGCGTGCTCGCGGCCGTTTCGCTTAGCTGCACATATACCAAATTCGATATCAGGTGACGTGAATAGATGACGAAGGTAAATGACACGTTCAAACGTGATCATCATCACATGAAAGTCACGTACCCCCAGGTGGTCGAAATTTCCGGAGCCTTCCACTAAGGTGTCTCTCACAATCATATGGTGGTTTTGGGACGTTAAACCCCACATATCATCATCATGAAAGTCACTTACGGCATCATTTACTTTCACCTCCTATTGTTGTGCTGATTTTAAAGTTACATATAGAGCTTCCTCATTCGTGCTTCGCATATCAACGATTCCCATTGTACGTAGGATCTGCCAATTTTTAAACGTATGTTTACTACCACCACCACCACCTAAAAAAATTACAGTATATCCATGGAGTGAATAATGAAGAGTGGGGTGAAGAGTCAGTCGGTCGGTCGGTCGGTCGGTCGGTCGGTCGGTCGGTCGGTCGGTCGGTGCCGGGCCGGGCTGGCTACGCCGGAGGGACGCGGGACTGCACTAGACCATAATCGGGTTCGCCCTTAAAACACTTGCCGAGAAGCGCATGCTTGGACCGCCATAAAAGTAGCGCTCTCGCTATCCTTCACAGCCTTCTCATTTCGTGTGTTCTCCATGGCTTTGTGCTGTTGTGATGTTCAGATGCCTTGTTTCTTGAAGAAACACGATAGATCAAACGAATTTTTGCGTATTACTAAACTACAATTTAGCGACCCGAAAACACCACTATTACCGTGACAAGACGCTTGGTAAGTGAGAAAACGAGGGAAAAATAGGCCCCGTATCTGCATGTAATCTGCAAATGTCATCGAAAGACGATAGTCTTGCGTGTGGAGAGAGTGAGCAAAACATTTATTTGATGTTTTGCGCAAGAACATCGGTGAATGGTATTCCGGAGGCGCTCGTTAGAGTGCATCGAGCGTGCAGCGGAGGCGAACGAGCGCATCAAGTCACGTCACACGTGAGACATGAGCGCCATCTGGAAGTTTTATTTGGAAAACATAGCGCGTGGCCTTGAGACGGGCGTGCGCGCCCGTCTCAGAGGTGTAGGACGCAAGGCGACGGGTAGGGGCCACCACCATCTCGTCTTAGCAAAGCGTTGGAAACACTCGCTTCTTCGTGCAAGCGTTGCATGGTCAGCGCAGCGTGATAAGCGCTACGGTCCTTAGAATTACTCCTGTATGCCTTTTCTAGTAAAAGACGAACATGCAGAATATATACGAGTTGGTATGATGCCTTAGATATGCGCAATATTTGCTTTTTAATTCACAATCGCACACGTATGAACGCTAATTCTTGAGCAACATTGGTGGGCGCAGCGGATGGGGTCGGCCGTTCAGGGTATTGGCTGGTGCTGTTTAAAGTACCCGATTCGGGGGTAATGGTGGACAAACAGACAAATGTACAGACAGACGGACAGACAGACAGACAGACAGACAGACAGACAGACAGACAGACAGACAGACAGACAGACAGACAGACAGACAGACAGACAGACAGACAGACAGACAGACAGACCAAAGTTTTTGCGTCGAAGCGTCGAAGGTCCCCAAGAAAGACTATCGTCTTTAGAAATGTGGGTGGAGGCGCCACCTGGAGATTCCCGCACCAAATACGATGACGCCCTATATTTTGAAGGCGTCTGCTGGTGTCTACGTATATAGAATCCAGTTGATAAAACGAAGTACATTGTCCCCAGTGTAAGCCATACCTAGCATATGCAGTCTCGGAAAACATATTCGAGCCGTATGTCATAAGAATAAAAAACATACGTTTTGGAATTTTCGACACCACGCATGATGATTTCGGCACAAAATTTTAAAATACAGCCTCAAGATTGATTTCCTCCGCCAACAACGTACTTGTGGTAGTGAAACGTATGAAATGAAAATTGTCAGAGGGCAGCGTGTCAATCTAAACTGAATCAAATTATTTTTAATGTCCCGTCAAACCCTTCCACTGTGCTTTGAATGGCCACCTAAGCTCTTGATGGCTTCTAACTCCCCCATAGTAGAGTACGAAGCAGTCTAAATCGTAAAACACTTTTCTAAACAAGCCAACTTTATTGATTGATATGTGGGATTTAACCTCCCGAAACCACCATATGATTATGAGAGACGCCGTAGGGGAGTACTCCGGAAACTTCGACCACCGGGGGTTCTCTAACGTGCACCTAAATCTGAGCAGACGGGCCTACAACATCTCCGCCTCCATCAGAAACGCAGAAGCCAACTTTATATAGCGCTCGCTGCAGTCGATTACAAACTACTCATAAGCGTTATACACTATTCCTAAACACACGAATTGGTCTTCTTTTTTGATCGAAACAGGGACGGCTTTCTGCTCTCCCATAGTAGTAATTACTCTAAATCGTAACCTATTTTTTTCTACGCACACGACTCAGCGCTGCCTTATAGTAGAATACGAAGTGTTTCAAATCGTTAGACACTTTTTCTAAATAGAGATGCATTGGCTTGATGGCAACTGGGACTGCTATGCCATCTCATAGTAGAGTACTACGTGGTTTAAGTGAATACACACTGTTTCTAAACATGTATGTAAATTATTTTGGGTGTATTTTTTGTAAGAAGCCTCGCAAAAGTTCTTGCACGTGGAATCCTCGGTGTCAGCTTCAGCCCTATTCGGTCACATCACTCTCTCTTATTTTCATTTCATTGACATGCACGTAATTGCGTCCAAGGTCTGATCGAGCGGACTTGGGGCAAGCCCGAAAACGATATTCTACAAGCTTGCTAGACAGATTTGGCTTCTTTCAGTAATACATGACCGTGTACGTGTCACTGAACTGCGAGATCAATCTTCTTGCTCCGTTTAAACACTCGTTATATGCCGAGAAAAATGACGCACAGGACCGGTGCCACACATGAAACTATATTTTCTGTACATATACTAATATAGCAGGGGTCTTGTGTCCCCAAACTTGTGTTCTTTAACGTGCGCCGACTTCACAGAGTGCAAGGCTCTCTCATTTACTATTCAGCGAAATGCGACCGCCGTGGCCGGAATCGAACCCGTGACTTTTAGGTCGGCAGCCGAGCACCGCAGCCACTGATCCACCATGGCAGACATATACTTTCTGTACACGATAGCGTGGTATTACGAAAACGCGATAATTTTGTTTCACTTGGAAAAACACTCATTTCTATGCATACGCTTCTAGTATGCATACACTTCTAGTATGCATACACATCTAGTATGCATACGCTTCTAGTATGCATATTTCGAAAAGCGCTTCAAAAAATAATAATTATCATAATTGACGGAGTTTGACGCCTAAAAGCTGCGATATGATTTTTAGAGACATCGTAAGGAAGCGCTCCGGAAATGTGGACTACCTGGGGCACCTGAACGCGCACCTGAATCGAAGTGCACGGGGCTCGAGCATCTTCGCCTCTGTCGAAAATGCGGTTGCCGCGGCTGGGATTCGACCCTGCGACCTGCGAGTGAGTAGTCGATTACCGTAGCGGGTGCGTTTAAGATAACCCACCCGCCTTATCAGAGGCGACCACGCTATAATCCCGCCGTCGATGTATAATCACGGTCCGCCAGGTTGGCGTGACATTTAGAAGCAAGTGACAATGAACATGCTTGCATTGCCACAAGTAAAAGGCTGCTGCAGCTGATTTTGTTTGTATTAATTTTTGGTGAAAGCGTCCACTACGTAGTATTCGATAGAGCTACGTGTGGGCTCGTGAAACTTTTCAGTGGCAGTGTTCAACCCCCAATTATCAAGCAACTTGCGTTGCCATCGGATATTTGGTCAACATTTTTCTATAAGATGAATTCTAACAGAAATGCACAATGTAAAATGCAGCTAAAGCTAGAGTCTTTCATGAATGCGCGACTTCATTAGCGCTGGTGAAGTACCACACCCTAATAAAACCAAGATCGTGATGTTACGAAGTACTTACTTCCCAAACACTCACCGGTTTCCTTTATCGGGATTCAAGTGTGGAACATAAAGAAGGTCACTTACCGGATGTGCCGCTTCTTTTTTGCTGTAGCAGGCGTCTACCTGAAAAGAAAAGAAAAACACAAAATAAACGTCGAGAGAATTATACGAGTTTACCCTCCGTCTTGTATTTCAGCTCCCCTCATCTACTGAAAGTAGCTGTTCAGGCCCTGCTGAATTAACCCTTCCGCCAATAGAGTATGTTTTCCCCCTTCCTCTGAAACATAAAATTAGTAGGTACAAACATAAAGTGTGTGAGATGAGGTAACATAGTTTTTTCTTTCCTCCTTTTTAACGAATCAAAACGTATACACGAGTGCACTAGTGACACGTCCCTCAGCTCGAGAGAAGGTGCATTAGTTTGCAGGAAAGACTAAAATTACGAGTATTAATACAGTTCTGATAAAGTACCGGCCAAGTTAATATTATGTTGCTTGTTTTTCTTACTACTCATCTCGGAAGTATCGCACATTAACTCATTCGGCACTTGTTTTCCCATCCTGCCCATGTTGTTCTTTTGCAGAATGTAATTTCTATAAGCTTTTGAAGTAATCGGCAATTGCCGAACAAGTTATGCTGCCGAAGCCAATATTTCAACAGGTATACACGTATCCTCGTCCACTCTAACGTATACTTTCCACCGGCATTTCTTGTTGCGCCGTGCATACACGTCCTATTTGTTAGCACAAAAAACTCCATCATGAATACGTGAGAGGAGCGGTTGCCAATTGCACCACCACAAAAGTCGTGCACTTTCATGGAACAAAATATTAGTGTGGCACAAAGAAAAAAAGCAATAAAGGCAATTGCAAGCCATTGGCATCTTCCACATATTAGGTGGTCTTATCCGAATGACTTAGTCTGAACGATCTGCTTGACATCGAACGCGCGCTCATCGGCATACCCTCAACAATCAAACAAATTATGTTCCACAGTTTAGATTGAGCCTCAGTTGTTGCAGTGCGGCCTTGCCGCTTGGCCGAAGTGTATACCGATCTATTCCGCCTCATGCAACAGAGGTGTGTAATGAAGCTTCTATTTTCATATTTGGATAGATCGGTCAGCTCGACAAACTTCACTTGTACCTTGACTGCACACAACTAGGTACTCTATCAGGGCAAGTATATACCCACTCAGGAGACCGAGAATGCACTGCTGTGCTTAGTTATTTATTAAATTCTATTGTAAGATGATTTATGTTAATTTTCTCTCGCTCTCTTTCCCTGTCTTTCCATCCCCACTCCCCTGCCCCCAAGCAGAGTAGCAAGTCAGTGATTTGTGTACGCCGAGGCTACATTTCCTGCCTTTGAAACAATCATTTTATTTACCACTTTAGGACGTGGAGGGCACGGGGAAAAACGTTCTTGTGAACTTGACTAAGCTTCCCAGCCAGTTACAGTTAAGCAAGCAGTGATGGCATGCAAAAAGGGGCGCACATAAATATAAGCACAGAGACAGCATACATTATTCTGGCACATCACCACCGTAAGAACACAACACGAACGCGCGATTCGGAAAGACAAATATTACGCAAAAAGAAAAACACCACATCAGAGATTAAGCTGAAAACTGACTTTTTGGACGAGCCAAATATGGCGAACACGTAATGTAAGGTACCTTACATAACGCGTTCGCCATATTTGGCTGTTTGAAAAATCTAAACAAAAAAAAAATCCGTGTCCTTCCGCTTAAACTTTCCTCCTCCTCATCCTAAACAAAAAAACAACACGTCTCCCAAGTAAAAAATAAGCACTGTGGCACTACCAAGATGTAACACTATTTTTATGAGAAATTGATTGATTGATTAATTGATTGATTGATTGATATGTGGGGTTTAACGTCCCAAAACCACCATATGATTATGAGAGACGCCGAAGTGGAGGGCTCCGGATATTTCGACCACCTAGGGTTCTTTAACGTGCACCGAAATCTGAGCACACGGGCCTACAACATTTTTGCCTCCATCGGAAATGCAGCCGCCGCAGCCGGGATTCGAAACCGCGGCCTGCGTTTCCATGAGAAATTGAAGAAAAGTGAATTTGCTTTTTATCAAACACACCCCTTGATTATACCAGTCTTTCTGGTGATCACGTTCTTCTTGAAAACGAGCCTGCATTTTGCTGTTTCAGAAGGCGTACTGCAATCTCTCAGGCGTACATTTTTTAGCCTCCTAATGTATCTTCATCACGTGGAAATGGGGCTTATGAAGTACACACACACATGGAATACAATCAAATATGTCCACATACTGAATACTATCTCGACCTCCTCCCCTCTCACCCGACTTGTCACCTTCCCGGGTACATTCGAGAAGTGGTATTGTGCAAGCAACCTCGCGCTCCTTACCGTGGCCTCCACCTTAGCTGCGTCAACGGTTGTGTACACCTCGGAGGCGCACTGGGGGCACTTTCGAGGAGCTTTGCCATTGTTGGTGCAGTACACGTCCACGACCCCGCCGGCACCCGTGGGCTGCATTGCACGAACCCAAGCGCACACGATATGAGCAGCACGAACACGATATTAGAGACACCTGCCGCATACAACAGCATGATGTCTTTTGTCTTAACTTGCTCTCAATTTCGCTTCGCGTTGGGACGCTAAACACCACAAATTAATCAATTTCGTTTCGCGGCGGTGAAATTAATATCTGGGGTCCTCTAATGAGGCAGTTTGTTAATAATGTTCGATGTACGGCTTTTATCACTTGTATGCGCACTTCTACTGATGTGTCGTTTTCTGCACAGATACATCATTCCTATATATTGCAGTTGTTTTTCAATAAACCTTAGTCATTAGTTCAGCGCCAAGTACGTGTCTTCCAACACTATTTTATTCTTCCTTTTAGATAATATTCCTGCTACACTGTCCAGAATGAGACGCCTGTGGCGCTTGCTTTCAATTAGAGTAGCAGAATTAGTCCGAACTCTTGAATGACACCATACCACGCATTGTGCATGTGATGACAGCTTCAGTTAATTCAATATATTGATGTCCGGAACCAATGCGTCATACATGGAGATGTGCGTTGTACAAGTGGTGGCTATAGTGTTGCGATCTTCCCGCATTGTAGCTTCAAAAGAGACACCTGTGACCACGAGTGTTTTAAAGCAGCCGTAAAGAACGGCTTTCCACCTGTTATATATTATTGATTTTCTACCGTTAGTCACTTGATTGATATGTGGAGTTTAACGTCCCAAAACTGCAGTATGATTATGAGAGACGCCGTAGTGGGGGGCTCCGGAAATTTTGACCACCTGTGGTTCCATAACGTGCACCCAAATCTGAGCACACGGGCCGACAGTATTTTCGCTTCCATCTAAAATGCAGCCACCACAGCCGGGATTCGAGCCCGTGACCTGCAGGCCGGCAGCCGAGTACCATAGCCATTAGACCACTGCGGTGGGGCCCTTTAGTCGCTTCAAGTTCACTTTTTATTCAAGATTACTTTCTGGCTGGCGCATCATAGCAACTGTTGTTCTTACGTCAAAACCCTAACGGGCTAACTACTACAATAACTCCCTCACCCACTCACTCGCCTGCAGGAAAAGTTTAAGAAAAGTTGAAAGTTCACTGGTGACTTGTCGAAGAGACAAGAAGAGATTTTTGGCAGTGAAATGAAAGCAGAGGCAGGGGGAAAGAGATGAATGCCGATTACAGTTCTCGAAACAGAAAAAAACAGAGTTGGCGTTACGCTGCGCGAGGCATGGTTTTACTCATTGATATTATATTTGTGCGCGCCCATCGGACAGTGATGTACGCGCACGTGAAACTACAAAGAGCCTAACGATATGCGGAGTTTCGTTTTTGTGGTCACTTGCTTGAATATCTTAATTGCGCAGAGGCTGTCAAACGTCAGCATATCGTCTCGCGGCCCATTTACCTCCCATTGATTGCGCGGACTTTATTCCAAGCCTGATTAAAATGCTTCCTGTGCTATTCAAAGAGCATTCCAAAAAACTATGGACATGGTAATGTGTACGAAGTTGTCAACGTATTGTGCTGATACTTTATTTTTAAATTTAAACGCTTACAAAGCTGATATATAGTTATTAATATTACCTATATCCGCGATTCGGCCAAGTACAAGGTATTGCCAGTCTTGCTTCCAATGACGACAAACTACGTTACCTTTGATCAGTCAAGCTGCGCAGCACTCGCATATTTTTCAGCTTTCTCCAATGGTGCGTGCACGCCTGGCACAATGAAGTTATCCAAATGGTAATAAGAAAAGAATTTAATTTTGTCTTCAGCGTTCCCGGCTTCCTGCGACACCCATTTTCAGTGGCAGCGAAGTTCAACCATAGGGCCACATAGGGCCAGCAATCTTTACGCTTGCTGGCCCTATGTGATCGAAATTAGAACGTCGAGACAGTCGAGAGGCCTTCTTTATAATTTAAACTTTTCTCCACGAATGCTCTTCCGCACTGAAACCAAGCAATAATTTCCGTGCGCACGCTAGCATGAAGCAGCAACTCTAGTTGTATGCCAGTCACAGTGAGATAGCCTGGCAAAGTGCTGTGTCATGCCATAGCAACCAGCGAAAAAAGAAAAATGGTGATTAGAGGACGTCCATCATAGCTGCACATCTATAGAATACTACAAAAAGAGGTACTGGAACGGTGTCATGGCAGTGTGTCGGCCTCGATGCAACTGTGTGAGCCACCGCTATGGTCGCTACAGGTTCCCTGTATGACACGCACTGTACTCAAAGTTCAGCTCTAAACTAGGAATGTCGTAGATTGTGATTTACCCTCGAAACGGATACAGTTTATTAAGTGAGTTTCCAAATTAACTTTTTCGACCTTCGTAAGACCTTAGATATGCTGATCTCACCTATGGCTGACTGAAAATGTGGTTTCCCCCGAAGTGACAGCAGACGGAGAACGTGATGGGTAAGTGGCGGAATGCGGTTTTGTTTGCATTGTGTTGATACGCTACAGTTAGGAAATATTGGCGTCATCAGGTGGGACCCGCTATAGTTAGGAATGCTTCTTTCTACGCTCACGACTTCAGCGAGCTGTGACGAGAAAGTTAGCGTATACGGGTATATCACTGAAAGAAGTAGAAATTTAAGGAATAGTTTTGCTTTGTTGGACATAATATTGTCACGTGGTGTAGTGACTTCTACAGCGTGACTTTGAGTGCAGACTTGGGGCAATCACCTCATGTGGGCAGTAACTGACACCCTACATCGGTGGCGGTAACATCCTACAGGCGCATCTGCGCTTTGGCGTGTTCCGTAAGAAACAACGCTCGTGGTTCGGCGCCGCACGCTGCTTACACCAGGCTGCAATGTACAGGCTGGCGCCATAGCGACACGTCGAGTCAACAGAATGGAACGTGACACTGTCATTCAGACATGGTCGTGCCTCCTTTTACGCAAGAAAAGACGAAAGGCACAGATGAAGAAAGCGCATGCGTCCCTCACGTGAAACCAAAACACATCACCCGGAAATGTTAATGAGAACTTACCGACAACACCACCAAGTCAAACATATGGCGTGTTGTTAGCAGTAATTGTAACTGTAAATGGGCAAGAAGAAAAATGGCCGAAATGATAACTTGCCGCTGGCAGGGACCGAGCTTACGACTTTCGGATTACGCGTCTGGTGGTCTCCTAATTACTCCTAATTCCTGTTAGCTTGGCACTTGGATACGAAACTCTACGGACTCTCCTAATGTATAGCCTTGCTTAATCTATTAGTGCGGGAGACTTCTTCTTATTTTTAATGTCTGCTCACATTGCCAGTCAATAGGGACAGTAAGGTAGCAATAGCTGCAAACTGAGCTTTCAAATGTTGGTTTTGGCAAAGTTTTCGAGGGAAGAAAAGTCGCGAATATTTTTTGAGCTCAGAAGCGCATCCCAGAGGCGCATAAAAGAGGTCCAGCTTAAGCGGTCTTACTGAGATTACTGTGTTGTAGCCGATGAATACGTAACCCACGGCATAGCATTTTATTGCTTTCTTCTAGTTTTTTACCGCGTGATGAATTGGCCTTGTGGGGGCGCAGATGTAAAACTAAGTACGGAGAGTGAGGATACTGAAAATACCAAAGTGTAGGCTCTGTCTGTCTGTCTGTCTGTCTGTCTGTCTGTCTGTCTGTCTGTCTGTCTGTCTGTCTGTCTGTCTGTCTCTCTGTCTGTCTGTCTGTCTGTCTGTCTGTCTGTCTGTCTGTCTGTCTGTCTGTCTGTCTGTCTGTCTGTCTTACTATCTATCTTACTGTCTGTCTGTCTGTCTGTCTGTCTGTCTGTCTGTCTGTCTGTCTGTCTTACTATCTATCTTACTGTCTGTCTGTCTGTCTGTCTGTCTGTCTGTCTGTCTGTCTGTCTGTCTGTCTGTCTGTCTGTCTGTCTGTCTGTCTGTCTGTCTCCGTATGTGTGCGTGTACTTGCGTTCACGCATGTGTGAGAGAGAGTGTGTGTGTTCTCTGGAAGAAAGTCCATTGGGAAGTGTTTGAACACGCACTGGTTGAATGAACTCGAAAGCCGCCAATGACGATTGGCGATATATAAACCTGTAGCTCCATTCGAAGGGCGTGCCCTGACATTAGCACTATAGTAGCCATCTGCGCAATAGCACACCAGCATTCTTCGTTTGCTTCCCTTTGTATACGCGCTTCGCATGTTCGCTTAACGAATACTTGAAAGATCGCGAAGCTACGCGTTCATAAAAAAAATTCCAACAGCTATTTTTCTTTGTGGGACCAGTGAAGTTGTTTAGGAAACGACATGGAAGTTTCTCAATCAGTATTAAGAGCCACCATCAATTAGACAACCTGCAACCAAATCTGCGATGCTTTTTCTAAAAGAACCTTGTGAATTGAGTGAATGCTCCTTCAAAATTTTCCATTTCATTTGCAGGCGCCTTCTTGCCATGACATGAGCCGCCTTTTTTTTAAAATTAAATGTATGTAAGGAGAGGTTGGTGCCAGTTGACGTTTTTCCACACTGAGTGTTCACACCACACAGAAATGAGTGCACACTGCGTAGAACTGTGTCCGCACCACACTGAGTTTGTAAAAAAAAATAAAAGAAATCCACACAAGCAATCACGCCAATTTAAGTGTTCACACAAAAACGTGAAAGTTCAATGAAACGTGTAAGGTGATCTTGTCGCTTAAATACTGACATGTTTTCAGAAAGGTTTTCCCAAAAATATCGTAGTGAAGCAGGAAAATACTGTTTTGAAACATACCGCGGTTAACTTTTGTTTTTTGCTTAGTACTTTTGAGCTATTTCTGATTCCTCCAGAAAGTGAACGACTGCACGTGCTGCAGTGGCTTGTAGCTTTCCTCTTGGCCATGGACCCAAGATTTTTGCAATTGATGGAGGTCGCTTATCCAAAGAATTGAGTTTTTGAAAAAGGTTCTTCGGGGTACGTCATGATTTTTACAATGCAGAAGAATATGCTCCACGTCTTCTTGAACTTCTCCACATGAGCAGGGGGGACTGCCAGCTCTCCTTATTCTATA